ATTTGACTTATTTATATACAGACTGTTGGTTCATTGCCTTCCCGGCAGATGCACTCCCACTCCGATGGAAACCCCTCGAATTAGTCGCTTTTTACAACATCCTTTTGGGGGCAGCCGGTCTACTTTTTTTTTGGCACCCTCAACATGGGGCGGTTGAACCCACACGGACAGACAATCCTTTAATACTTTTGTGGGAAAGTATTTGTTGAGAAGTCGCTAAGGGACCATTTGGAATACACTTAAGGCTATCATTTAAAAAAATATATCAATAATCATGGACAAAAAACATAATAATACCAACATCTATATGGTTATACATGTAAATGAAGTGATTTAAATAATGAAAACTGTGGCAACATGTGGATGGACAACTACATTGGCCACAATGAACCTTTATTTACTACAGTGAAAAGGTGGAAATGCAGTGGTACAAACAAGTAATAGAATCTAAGGGCATTTCAAAAATAATACTACAGGCCTCATTAGAGGGAAGGAGGAGAAAAGGCAGACCAAGAAAGCCCTGGATACAGAAATTGACTGACTGGACAGCCTTAGGCATGCAACCACGAAGTCCATCGCATCTGACCGTCAAAGGTGGAGGGAGGTGATGGGCCAGTCAACTGCAGCTGCTGACCCAACGACAGACAGTGTTACGAGATGATGATGATGAAAAACTAGACTGCTTTCAGGTGCAAACATTCTTGCCATACTCCCCCTCATCCTTTTCCTCCCGCCCATTCTTCGTTTTTTAAAGCATCTAGAGAACACACACATACAGACACACACACACACACACACACACACTATATACCCTAACGTTCCCAGTTCGACCTACAGTGAAATTGGTACCAGGTATTTCCTGGAATGTAAAGGCGACTAGCGTGCTTATGAGCATCCATCGAATGCCGGTGATCTATAAAAATATGTGTTTAGCATTGTATACCCGATGCGCCACCATGATAAAATAGGTGGTTACTGTTACTTTCTCTGACACTCCTCCTCTATCAGCTCGCGAGGCTTGTACATTTGGCAAAACATTACTTGCTTTGCCAGATAGAATGAAACATCTGTATACACGCAGTAAAATTCTGCATGTCTCATCTGGCATATGGTTTCTTGTAGCCACAGTGAATCAGTCACAGTGTGAGAATAGATGGTAACATTTGTGCTCGCTGTAGTTAGGCATTCTCTTTGTTGGCGCGCTGCATAGGACATCCCTCATCCTTGTAGTCCTCCTCCTCATCCTCATTATCATCGAAGCTGACTGATGTTGGCGATCATACCTCACAACAACTTATCTCCAACAACACGTATCAGTTCATATACTGACACCCCTGCATGCCATGATAAAACCTATCGCGAATCTCCTCGTGCTTTCTTCTTTTGTCTCTCTTTCTACGAATCAATCTTACTTGTTTATGATCTCCGAGGAACTCTAGTCATTCTTTTGTAAAACCTTGTCTTTTATGTTGGCAAGAAATTGTTTATTTTACTTAGTTATTGTCCAAAACACGTAGCTATATTTCAAAACTGGCTCAATTCAGCATTCCAACATGCGTTTTTTGCTTGTCCTTTAATGTTTTGTTTTCTTGCTAATCTCCATAATATATATCTCCCACCTGTGTTACCCTCACATACCTAGATACGTACACTTCTGTAATTAAACAAAGCTAAGGTCATTGACCTGAATTGTACAAGGAGACACATATCTTTTCTTTGATTTTACCATAACTTCATTCATTACATTGTTCAAGCTGGGGCCCTTTCTTTTTTATTTCTATAACCACATTATGAATCAGTTCCTGTAGTCCTTTATCATTTCTAGCAGTACAGATTGCGCATTAATGAAACTAGTTAAAGCAAATAGTTCCTCCTCACCCCCAATGCGCAAGGCTAAAGAAATATAAAATAGGAAAAACTATTTAATTTGTGTGAGAGAGAGAGAGAGAGAGAGAGAGAGAGAGAGAGAGAGAGAGAGAGAGAGAGAGAGAGAGAGAGAGAGAGAGAAGAGAGAGGGAGAAGAGTGAGAGAGAGACAGACAAGCAGACAGACAGGAAAAGATATTGAGTGACAGACAGAGCCGGAAGCCGGCGCAGAATCACCCCCTCTACAAGCATGTCATATAATTCGACAAAATAACGGTTTTTTTCTCCTCCAAATCTGTGCGCAACTGTTCGACAGGCTAGGAACTAACAGTCTGTATACAATAAGCCAGCTCTGTAAAACTTACGTGCACACAAAGTCCAAGTTCTGGAACAAAGTTAAAGTCCAGAGTTAAAGGAATAATCAGAACTTTCTCCGAAGTTTACAGCCGGTGAACGCTGAGAAGAAGAAGAAGAGCTAGGAACTATTGTCTTTCTGCACCAAATGCACCGTATATACAGTGGAACCTCGCTTAACGAGCATAATTCGTTCCAGAATCATACTCGTTTAGCGAAACACTCGTTATGCGAAACAATTTTTTCTCATATAAATTAATGTAAAATACGATAATGCGTCCCATGTCGAACAAAAAATACTCACAAAATACTATGCATAACGTTTATTCAAAGAAAATTATATGCATATTGTTAAGGAGAGTAAATCATCTTTATCTTTTCTTCAAACGCGGAACAAACCCACATGGAATGTGAATTTGATTTGCAGAAAAAAAAAGTCAAAATAATTATGATACATATATAGTTTTTTTTTTTTTTACTAGAAAGATGTCCAGAGACATTTATTTTTGCCGACGATTCAAAATTTGGCGAAAATACGACATCATTAAATAAATTTGCAGCGCGTATAGCCCCTTCCTTATTAGGGTGAGGCTTCTTAATGTAAGATGCAATAGTTTGCCATGCTTTCAGCATTTTTCTTTTTTTTTCGCCAATGCAACTTTATAAGCTCTTTGGTGTCAGCTCTTGTCTCTTCTCTTCCACAAGCTCTTCGATATCACTGTTATCCACCTGCAATCCCATGATAGTGGCCAAAGACACAATCTCGTTGACTACATGTTCCACAGGTACTGTCTCGAACCCCTCAAAGTCACAAATCGACAAAGCTCTCCGGCCAAAGCTTCTTCCAAGCAGAAGTTCTGGTTCTCTTGGTAACCTCTTCCCCCGCCTTGTCGATCATCTTGAGGCAGGCAATGATGTGGAAATGATTTTTCCAAAACTCTTTGAGAGTGAGGTTATTTCCTTCAGTCACCTGAAAACAATGCTCGAAGAGTGCTTTAGTGTAGAGCTTCTTAAAGTTATAAATAACTTGCTGGTCCATGGGCTGGAGTTACGGTGTGGTGTTGGGAGGCAGAAACTGGATCTTGATGAACTTAAATTCTTCAGACAGATCATCTTGTAGGCCTGGAGGATTCATGTACATATATCACAATATAACACAAGTTTGAGAAAATGTATGATCACAAGCGACACTACGATGCTACTGGAACGAGTGCTAAACACTGATGTAACATGCTCACAATTCGGGACTTCCCCTCTCCTCGCCACTCGTTACGCTAAACGTCTCTCGTTAAGCAAGTCATTTCTTTTTTACAATTTGTTTTTGCTCGTTATGCGAATTACTCGTTATGCGAGGTGCTCGTTAAGCGAGGTGCTCGTTAAGCGAGGTGCTCGTTAAGCGAGGTTCTACTGTACTGTTCGAAATGTATGTGCCATGAATCGTGTGATGGTCAAACGGAGAGATTGCTGCTGGGAAACAGCAGAGCACAACTTAAAATGGCTACATACGCGACTGAGTCAGAATTCTCTAAGTGAGTCAATTTCAGTAACGAGGAAGGAGTTAAAACGTCCCACAGAGCACCAAGTGATAGACTTTGCTAGAAAGCTTAATATTGATTGCGCATTCGATTTTTTTTTCAATCACACATTGAAGATACTGTTATAGAAATTGTGTGAAATGTGCAATCCCAAGTTGAATAAATGAAAATATAACGCGGTTAATCCTAAAATACTGTAGTGATCCTGTGTGGTTAATCTGAGACTTCTGATGGTGAGATGGGCATTGTAACAAACGACAAAAGACAATGCAATCTGTGTCATGCTTCATTTTACGTTGGAATGTAGTCTTTAGTAATGCTCTTGACGAGATACAGCAGAGATTAAGTGTAAACTATATTGCTAATGTCCTCACTATTTCGACTATCTGTAAATTGCCAATTTCAGGGTTTCCATCCTCCTTAAAAAACACCTTCCATTTTCGTGGTGAAGTTATTAACTAAGCTTTGGCCTCGTTTCGGAGGTTTCTGAGGATTGTTGCTGGAGTTGAAGAATATATCGCTTTGTACGATGTTGTCGGTGGTAACACTTGGTGCATTAGAGGTAGTAGTAGCAGTACATTTTACCCCACTACGACATCACACAAGAGATAAACACCTGATGACACAAAGTGCCCCCATGCGGATGAGGTTCACCCGTGGAAAGGTCCCAGAAACCGCGTTCAGCCATTGGGCGATATTTATGGTCAGGCTATATTGCGGCCCCTGGCAAGAGCCAGGTTGGGGCTTCAAAATAACGAAAAATTGCATCCCACAAGATTTATATTAACCAAGCATTAGAGGACCACATCTCGAGTTTAAACACCTTTTTAACGTAACATGTCCCCCGCGTGGGTTCCGGGGCTCCATTGTGGGGAAAACAAGAATAGACCCACTGCCTCCCCAAAAGCATGTCGTAAGAGTCGACTAATTGGGGAGCTTCCTTTGAAGTCGGAGTGCATCTGCCGGAGAGGCAAGGAACCAATAGTCTGTATTCAAGAGAATGAGATCTGTAAAACTGATGCACACGCAACACTCAGGTTCTGGAGCAGGACTGCAGTTCAGTAGTGGACGACCAACCAGAACCTTCCGCCAGAGTTTACAGCTGGTGAACGCGAAGAAGAAGAAGAACGTAACATGTATTGATTTTGTAACATTAGCATGTTGAAATAATGTTTAGTGAAAAAAAAAAAAAGGAAACAGTTTTAGATCCTAATATAATGAGGATTACTTTGATACCATTGTCCAGCTTGCAGTGACAGAGGGAGCTATACGTCTGTGGATTAACTTTGTCCGAGAGAAAGAGCAGAGCGTGGAGATTGAGTTGGGCAGGAACCTCAACGATGGCAACTGGCACAGAGTGGAGGTCAAGAGAAACAGGATGGAGACCACACTTCTGGTGGACAACAACCAGTCCAGCAAGGTCAGTTTTGTTACATCTGTAGCCTAGTTTTGTGTAATATAATATACATTGTTCAGTCTTGTAATATAAGAGTTAAGCAAAATAACAGTGTGGTTGGGCCACACGCAGAAACATACAACTCTCTTGCATTGGAACAAAGATGTTACATACAAACAGCTTCTTCTTCGCCTTAATGTTTTCTCAGTTGAATGCTTAATGTTTATTCTTTTTACATGAAGTTACTGTTAACCTATCAGTTTCACCTATCAGTTGAACAATCCCTCTTTAACACATCTGATCACCGTTAGCGATAACTGAAGCAATAAATTGAAGGATAACTGTAAACATTTTCAAGTTACTGTTCATATCCTTATATATTCTGTTCTTCTTTTGTCCACATTCTGCCTTGTTCTCATAGGCGTCACAGGTTAACATTGATCGGTATCCCAGCTAGGGCATGCTTGGTTGCTCGGTATGCTGTGGTATTGTGAGTCTCAGAGTATCAGTGACCCCTTCAATCCATATTTTTCTTGGTCGTCCCCTGCCTTTTAGTGTTTCTACTTTCACGTTGTACGCTATCGTTGCTGGAATCGTTTGATGCATTCTCATTAAATGATCAAAACATCTCAGTATCCCCCCCCCCCCCCCTTAATGAATTTAATTATAAAGGAATGTTTCAATAGTTCATGTAATTTCTTCATGCCTCACCTGATCTTTTCTAGTTTTGTTCACGAAAAATGGGCCTTAATCAGTATTTTGTTTCCCCCAACTCCTGTCCTTTAACTGCAAGGCGAAACTAACATTCGTCTCAAGAAAGTTAACATAGCAACCAATCGTCGTCCTGGTCGTCCATTGGCTCGCCGATGGACGACTTTGTCGCCGGTCAGAAAGTATTTGGGTCTGTCTCCTCTGATCTTATCAACACTGCAGGAGTCGATTCCAGGGCTCTTGGTGGCCTGCAGTGCTAGGCCATTTTATATGGCGCACATAACCTGGTCACAATTATAACTTATAGCTACCCCTGCTGGTTAAACAGGATAATTTTTTTAAGCAAAGCAAAGCAACATAGCAGCTGGGAGAGAGAAAGAGAGAGACAGAGAGAGAGACAGAGACAGAGAGAGAGAGAGACAGAGAGAGAGAGACAGAGAGAGAGACAGAGAGAGAGACAGAGAGAGAGAGACAGAGAGAGAGAGAGAGAGACACACAGAGAGAGAGAGAGAGAGAGAGAGAGAGAGAGACAGAGACAGAGAGAGAGAGACAGAGAGAGAAAACCTATACGGATGTGAGTTACAGACTGAGTGGTGTTAATCTAGGATTTTTAATTTAAAAATTACTGACACATTCCCAGAAAACACCGGAGTAGGAAGAAGACATACTAGCATTCTTCAGTATCAGGTGATGGAAGTAAATAGACAGTACCTCATCTCTAAACTGAAATAGTTTCGCCAAATTAAACATAGCATGTTTTTTAACAGACCGCATAGGCCTGCAGGTTGCATCCGGCGAGTGTCGACCTTATGGATGTCCTAATTATAACTTCTTTAGGGGTTCAATGGGATCTGGGATCTGCCTTTTTAATCAGACTTTTCAATCTCAGGATGGTATGGTAAACCTTTAGGTGGCGGCTCAGAGGGGACAAACTGATCGGTAGATCGGATCCTATATCATAGCGGCAAAACAAGCTCTAATCTCTCTCTGTCTCTTTCTCTCGCGCTTTCCCTCACTGATTCTCTTTGGACGAAACTAAATATCTTGGTCATCGATGTTTGCACTTGTTCAACAGATAAATAGCACATGTTCGTTTGTGTCTTGTGTACATTTTATTTACACGTTTTGTAGCGTATACTCTGAATTGTTTCCGTAACCGTTATTCACAAGGTGCCTCTGGTAACATACACAACAAAACGCTTAAACCATTAGGGTCGTGGAGGTGTATAGATGTAAGCACTAGCATATAAAACCTGCCTGCTTTCTCTGTCGTCTGCTTGATGAATAATTGTATGATAACTTAGTCCTGTCCGTTTCTTGATGTTGTCATTCCAGGTTCTTCTTTGCCCTCCTCTTCTTCGACTAACCCCAATGTTTCTTGAAGTAGTCTTTGCAATCGAATCATGTCTCACCACGTGCCCAAACCAAGCTAGCTTGCGACGTTTCACGACTGCCAAGAGAGGCTCCTGATGTCCTGCAAATTTGCACATTTTGTCTCTGACCAGTTTATTAGTTTTGTGTTCTAAATAATTTGTAAAATGATTTGGTAGCATTTACAAATTAAAGCCGGAATCCTCTTTTCCATTTCTACAGTGAGAGTTCAACTCTCACACCGTAAAATAAAGGAGACACTATCAGTGATTTGTAAATATTGACCTTGACAGAGATGCTGATGTTGCTCTTCCACATCGTATTCAGCTGAAACATCGCAGCTGCTGCCATATCAAGTCTTGTCTTGATCTCTTTGGTACAAATGCTATCGTTAAATATGTGGGAGCCAATATATTAAAGGTTTCAACTTCTTCTAGTTTTTTCCCTTTTATCTGTATGTTGGTGAATGCTGTATGTTTCTATTATTTAAAACCCCACTGTCTGTCTGTCTGTCTGTCTGTCTGTCGGTCGGTCGGTCGGTCGGTCGGTCTGTCTGTCTGTCTGTCTATCTGTCTGTCTGTCTGTCTGTCTGTCTGTCTGTCTGTCTTCCTTTTATCTGTATGTTGGTGGATGCTGTATGTTGGTGGGTGCCTCTGGTAACCTTTGTTTATAACTCTATGATGTAACTTTTATTCACAATCGTCTGATGTTCACAGGTTTCGTTTGGATCAGACTTCAGCTTTGGAGACCGGTTGGAGACCAACAACTACATGTACTTTGGAGGAGTTCCTGGCAACTACAGGCAGAACCTGGCCCGCCTCAACATTCCCGCCAATGTCCTCAACTCGCCATTCCAAGGGGAGATAAGAAACATCCTGTACTTCAACTGTTCCTGCTTGCCCGTTAGGTAGGTTAGTCAGCACTGTAGTGTTGTTGGTGAGTGAGTGAGTGACTTTCAACCCCACCAGGACATCACACAAGCGATAAATACCCGATGACACAAAGTGCCACCATGTGGATGAGGATCACCGTGGAGAGGTCCCAGAAACCGCGTTCAGACATTTGGCCATTTTTATGGTCTGCCTATATTGCGGCCCCTGGCAAAAGCCAGAGTGGGGCTTCAAATAACAAAAAATTACGTCCTGAAAAGGACGTAAGTACTTAGTATAAAGTGTTGTTGGTGTTGTATTGCATGATTGAGAGGACGGAATGTTGTATTGGAATCTGCTTCTAAAATCTGACACTGGTTCACGGGTTGACCCAGCTTTTAGAGGGACACGCTTTACTTCGGAGGTCTCGACTGGGAAGCATTGACTGGATCATTCTGCTATTGTGTTGGGAAATGAACAGACGGACAGACTGGCTGGCTCTGCATAACTTGGTGGAATACTGATGCATGATAAGGTAGACGTGGTTAGGGCCTTGTGGAAGAACGTGCACAATTCGGAGGAGCAAATGGATCACCACAGTCTGGTGGGAGTGACGCAACGGGGATAACGAGAAGAACTGTCCGATACTCGACTCTCAAAGGAAAGGCAAGACGGACAAATAATCAGAATGCTACTGGCACCATTGGTGTTGGAACTCTGCGCTGGCTGCTGAAGATGGTGACAGAGCGTTTATGGGAATGCCCCATGTAAGGTGATGTCGGTTGTTGATGTCAACGTCCGTCCGTCCATCCGCCTGCCTCCTGTCATTTGTCTTGATAGCACATTCCTTACAATTGGCACTTGTACATTTAATGACCTAGTTACCTTGATAATCCCCAACGTTCTTCATTATTTCGTTTTGTCTGTGCAAACAGAGCATCAATGTTGGAGGGTCGAGGCGTTGACCTTACATACAGAGAGGCCTGTGAACTGCGTGATCCATGTCCCAAGGAGTGTCCCTGTGTGAGCGGCAACGAGGGGCCCAGCTGTGAGTGCATCTACAAGCAGGAGTGCCTTAAAGGTAGGTCTTTAGTTTATCCATGTCTTTCCCTTCTTCTTGCCAAAGTCCATGCAGTGTGGCGCTGGTAGTTATGTCTGTCCACAACCTTCTGTCTCGTGTTCTCGTGTACTTTCAATCAACTCTGACAAGATGATCCTCCAAGCCATGATATCAAACTGTCCAGCATTGTTTTTCTCCTTGTCTCCCTCTGCTACTTCACCTCTACAACTTTCTTATTGTCACGATGTACTCAAGTTTTTTTAAATTTTTAATTTTCATCTCATAACCAAAGAATGTAGATTGTCTTTTTCTGATGTGGGCAATCAGTTCTCTTCGTGAGTCAGTTTCTTTCAAGACGTCTTCATTACTCTTTTTCTCTGTCCAGGGTATTCTCATCATTTGTCTATAAAACCACATCTCTGCAGCTTCCGAATAATTTTTCACTAATCTGCCAACTGTCCATGATTCACTTCCATAAATCAAGATAGGATTCATTTAGCTTTTAAGAATTCTCTTCCTCGTCTCGATTGACAAAGAAAGATTGCATAACATATTCTGTGTTTTGTAAAATTCTCCATTTGCTTGAGCTATTCTACATTTATCTTCTTTAATACATTTCCATCTGATGTTATCACGGTACCCAAGCACTTAAACATATCAACTTTGATGGTATATTTTGGAGTGCTAGTTTTTTTTTTTTTTTTTTTTTGGTAATTACCATTACTACTGTTTTTCCGCTGTTCAGACTAAGACCCTTGTGTTCACTTTTTGTTACAACTTTATCCATCGATAGGCTCTCAGTGGGCGACTAGCGGTCTGTAGAAAGAGACCCAGCCCTTTGGGATAAAACCGGGCTCAAGGCAAGGAAGTCGTTTCTCTCGACAAAACTTTAACTTTATCAGACAAGAGTTCACAATTTTGGGTACTTTGCGGAAAGTGGGAAACGTGGCTTGAATCGTGACAACCAGTAATTGTGAGAGAAAAAAAGATGTGGGAGAACAAGAGATAAAAGCTGTTTGGAACATGGCATTGTGCGCCATTTTATCATAGAATAGTTTATCAAATTAAACCAAAGACATAATTTTGTTCTGCTCATCATGTTGCCCAGCCATACAATAGTATAGACAATGTACCATATCACCAACAGACCTCCGTGACATCATGTTGATCTAATCATACCATGTTCACACAATAGTATAAGCGGCGTACCACACCCTAGAGCCCCCTTCTGTTTTCACGGAGAGAGATATGTTACACAAAGTAGAATAGTAGAGAAGTAAGCGGTCGTGCCAGTCCGCAGATGACTACAAGTGGAAAATCCAGCGATGAGGCAGAAAAACAAACTATTCTTATGGGTGAATGGAAATGCATACAAAGTGTTGTCTGTGTTGTACTGAAAAAGCCCCGCACACACATGCCCGCTCGCTCTCGACAAACCTACGACAAATGGTTTCGTTCTCTTTGGTTATCTTCCTACCCTAGGATAAACAAGAGACTTGATTGTGTTGCTATCTGTTACTAGTTAAAACGTTGCAGCCGGTTATTAAGATATTTGCTTGTCTACTTTAGTATAAAAGCTCTTTTTGTCCGTGTCTGACTGAGATCTGTTAACTGCCTCGAAGAGAATAAATGAACCAACTTTATTTTCACAGGGTCACAAATTGGGCACGCAGGCCTGTCTCACATCCCTCACTCATACGACAATTCTATTCCGTCTAGAAACATGTTATGCTAATAGAGAATGTTAAATATTGAATGAAGAATCGACATTACTCCCAAAAGCGCGCTGTCACCATCTTCAGCAGCAAGCGAAGAGTTCCTATTCTGCTGGCACCAGTAATTGTCTGATTGTATATCGGTCTCGCCTTTTCCTTGAGTGTTAAGCGTCGGGCAGATCCCCCGGTAACTCCCCGCAGACGTTAACACAGCAGTATACATAATATTAGGAGCAAGTGAAACCCATACTCGCATGTATGCCAAACGGGCACATTTAAATATACATACACGCATATACATATACACATGAATACACACATACATGCATACAAAAAATGCATAAACACACACACACACATACATGCATACATAAATGCATAAACACACACACACACATGCATACATAAATGCATAAACACACACACTCACACATACAAACACACATAAATACGTACATACGTAAATGTATAAATACATTCACTCCCACATACATAAATAATACATACATACATTCACACATACATACGCACATACATACACACACACACACACACACACACACACACACACACACACAGACAGACAGACAGACAGACAGACAGACAGACAGACAGACAGACAGACAGACAGACAGACAGACAGACAGACAGACAGACAGACAGACAGACAGACAGACAGACAGACAGACAGACAGACAGACGCACGCACGCACGCACGCACGCACGCACACATACACACATACACACACATACACACACATACACACACACACATACACACACATACACACACATACACACACATATACACACATATACACACATATCCACACATAAACACACATATACACACATATACACACATAAACACACATATACACACAGACAGACAAGCACACACAGACAGACAAGCACACACAGACAGACAAGCACACACAGAGAGACGGGTACATACACAGACACAGATAAAAACCCAGAAAGACGGCAGACATACAGTGAAAAAGAGAGTCAAGGGGGACAGAGGGAGACGCAGAAAGAGACAGCACAACTGGCCAAATAAATATACTATAATTGAGTGAAAACTTAAATGCAACCCCTGAGAATGAGTCAGCCGTTCAAATAGGCGTTTACATCAGGAAATATGAGATAGAGCAACAATGATGTAGATCTCTCTCAGTCAGCCTTTTTAGCCAAGATGACAAGTAGTCTGGTCTAAAAAGGTGCAGCTCCAATAGTGTGCTCACACATGACAGCAATTACATTCAGCCATGTTGCTAAATCTGTACACACTTGCTTGGCGTGTTGACATTTATGAGAGCTTGCCGCTGGCGAGAGAGAGAGAGAGAGAGAGAGAGAGAGAGAGAGAGAGAGAGAGAGAGAGAGAGAGAGAGAGAGAGAGAGAGAGAGAGAGAGGGGGGGGGGGGGTGGACGGGATTACTGGATTAAAGAACTAGTGAGTAACAATGTTCCACTGTATCAGCCATGACCAAATTACATTTTACCGGTTTACAAATGCATAAGCTTTGCTACCTGTTTTACTGTTGAACTTGCACACATGTAGTCTAGCTAGACAGGGTTGACGTTTTCTGAAGAGTTGTTCATGAATAGCAAATTAAATTCACTTCAAGCAGAATTTGTGGTTTGGAATAATAGAATAAAGGAAACAGTCATCCTCGAGGCAATGATAAGAAATATCAGACGTAAATAGTCGGTGTTTTTCGAACATAATATGGGAGGAATGGATTCAAGATTTGGTAGGTGCTGGCAAGATTCATGGGGAAGGGGGGGGGGGGAGCAAAAGGAGAGCCAAGAGAAAAGTACATTAGCCATAAAGGTGGAGCGAAACATTATGCTCGTCGACTTATGATGATGATGATGATGATGTACTGCACTTAACTTCACCTGATGTGCTGTAAAAAGAACTTCAAAAAAGCGATCGGTTTCATTATGAAGACTAGCCACATGGCATTTTCTCCTTCTCCTTTTCTTTCTTCTTCTTCTTCTTCTTCTTCTTCTTCTTCTTCTTTTTCTTCTTCTTCTTCTTCGTCTGCGTTCCTTCTGAAAATGACGAGTAGCGAGTTTTGCAGTAAATATGATTCTAGAATACGAGGACCCGGTAAGCCACATTAAAGACACTAGTACGTGATAGCGGAGGAGAAGGAGACGCAGAAGATGTAAGTTGACCCAACAGTCAACCAGCCTTTCAACGAACAAACCAGCCAACCAATCAACCGGTCACAACCAGGCAAGCAAATAACTAACCAATC